ATATATATATATATATATATTATGATAGTATTTTTTCTTGTGAATTAAATACTAATATAAATAGTGTATAAATAGAATTGGTAAGAGAGCTCCCATGGCAACACGCAGTCTCTCTCCCATTCTCACTCTGTCAGCCCCCATTTAAGCGTTCACCTAATCATTCAACACAAGTCACCGATAAAACTCACCATTTCCTCTGCTTTTAGAAAAAAAAAAAAAAAAAAAAAAAAAAAACAGAGCAAAGCAAAGCAGGGTAAGGAAAACAGAGTACAAAGTGGAAGATGGTGACTGAACAGAGAACACCAGAGGAGTCGAAGGTGGCGGCGTTGGAGAGCAGTGGAACAATGAGTGGACCCCTCGTCGAAGCCGCCGAAGGGACCCGCCGGCGCCGGAGGGTGGAGGCCATGCAATTGGTTCTGAGAGCATTGTGCATGGCCTCCTCTGTTGTTGCCATCTCACTAATGGTCACTGCCAAGGAATCTAGCTCTGTCTCCATCTATGGCTTTCTCTTACCTCTTCACTCCAAGTGGTCTTTCTCTGAGTCCTATCAGTACGCTTCTTCCATTTTTTTTTATCTGTTGCTTCAAGTTTTGTTTTTCTATTTTGTTAATTGTTGCGTTTCGTTTTTTTTTAAAACCTTTTTTTGTTATGCTATTTTGATGGTTTGTTCATGAAAAAAAAAAAAAAAAACGGGGTTTTGTTGTTTCTTTAGTTTTTTATTTTATAATAAATTTTCGCCCTATTTTTTTTTTTTTGTTAGAGAAGAGAGAAAAGTAAAAAATGTCATGTAAGTTGTGTTTCTGAACTAACTAAAAACATGTTTCTTCTCAGAAGAATCCCAAGAAAATTAGAACTAAGAGGAAAGAGCTAGTTAAATTCGAAATATAGGCTATCAAGTTTCATATTAAAAACCGATGCTTCATTTTCTCACTAGTTGATGCGTGTTTGCTTTTCTTATTTTATTTTATTTATTATTTTTTTGCCAGCAATATCTTAGGGCTGTGGGTTGCAGACAAATTTGACTGTAAAAAGTGGGACCTTGGCGAGGCTTTTTTTCTAGTCATGATGACATTTGAATGAACAGTCTTAGGCCCGTGATGGAATTTCTCTTTTTTCCCTTTCTTTTGCACATTTTTTAAGTGATTCTTTGTCCCCTTGCCTCTATGTCGTTTTGGACTATGCAAATTTTTTAACTTCCCTCAAATTTGTGACATACTAGTCTACAACTTGAAATTGAAACTATAACCTCTTCAATCTAAAATTTATTGCTTAACTAGTGTTATTTATAAGAATGTTTGGTGATTGTTGTCAAATTGTCATTGGCAGATATCTTGTTGGGGTTTCAGCTGCTGTCGCAGCGCATTCCTTGTTGCAACTACTGATTGGCACATCGAGATTTCTTAGGATGTCTTCTGTGATTCCTTCCAGAAATCATGCATGGCTTATTTTTGCTGGGGATCAGGTATATATGGTTATGCATGTTTCTAAGGTTCTTCATGAGATCAAAATTAATACATATAATATATTAAAGTTTAACATTATGGGGAGTGAGACTTACTTTTATGTCACATTTCTAAATTATTTACAACTTGCTACCATGATTAGCTTCTCCATAATAAAGTGGTACTACTTTATAAGGGTTAAATTGTGATGAAATTGCAGGCATTTGCTTATGCATTGATGAGTGCTGGATCTGCTGCATCTGGAGTGACCAATCTGAATCGCACAGGAATTAGACACACGGCTCTGCCAAATTTTTGCAAGCCTTTGCACAAGTTTTGTGACCATGTTGCCATCTCAATAGCCTTCACTTTCACCAGCTGTTTTATTCTAGCTACCTCAGCTGTTCAGGATGTAATATGGCTATCCCAACACTGAAATGTTTTATATTACACGTAAAATGTAACCAAACATGTCATACTATAATATCTTCCTTACCCTTTTAGACCTTGTAGTCAGTGTTCATGTTTTCATAAACGTTGCATCTTGTGTGCCAGATGTTATTTCTCATATGTTACGAAGACTTGTGATATGTGAATGAATTATATGGCAATACGATTGCTATAAGCAATCTTATACTTTTAACTTTTAATTACATACTAGTAACTTGCTCAAGAAACTAGAAACTACAAAATAAGGCTTAATACTTCTATTATCCTTTAGATTTAGGCTTTAGTTATTCGAATTAATATTAATGTTTTTTTTTTCAAATTGTAGTTGGTTTTAAATTTTTTAATGGATGTCTAAAATTTATTATGAATATGACTTCTAATTTACAACATATGACGGATTAGTTTTAAAATTGCGATTGAGCATTATATAAATTTAGATTAAAATATCCAATATTGTGAAATAGAAAAGGTGGGTACTTGAACATTTCAAGAACAAAACTTGACACCCTACCCAGCGGGCCCTAACCAGAGGTGCGACCATCCATGCCCATGACCAAAAGGGAATCAATTATAGATCCATAACTAAAAAGGCTCAATTATATATATATATATATATATATATAATTGTGAGATAATTTTTGTATTGTCTTTAAAAATAAAATTAGACTTATATTTTAGTTTCCATAAAATAAGTATGTTCTGATCAGGGACAGATCTACATAGAGGGTAGTGGGATAAGTGTTCCTACTACCATTTTACACATACATATTTTTTTTATCCAAAAAATAATATATTTTAAAAATTATATATATTTATTTATTTAAATTATCGTATGTATAAAATGTAAATTTGAAAGAAAATGTTCATTTATCTTATATTTGTCAAACTTTTAAAAAAGATCAATTATCATATATGATAAAGAATACTCCTTAATAATAAATCAAAATAAAAATGTATTTGGTCTCTATAAATTTTTTTTAAGTTTGGCTTTAGTCTTTAAAAAATTTTGTCCTGTTTTGGTCCTAATTTAGAGATGTACCACTTTTGGTCCTCAAAGTTATTTATAAATATTTTATAATAAAAGATATTATAGAAGTAATAAATTGAATGAAAAATATAATAAATATTTGTTAATTTGTTAACATTATGTTATTTATTTAATGTAACAAAGTATGTTATTTTTAATTAAATCATATACATATAATTTGTTATAAATGTTTATATATAAGGATTAATAGCAACAAAGGCGTTAGCTCAAGTAGTATTGGATTCAATTTGCTTAAGTAGGGTATCAAGAAAACCAATTATATATTGGTGAAACCAACAAATATTCCATATCTAAAAAATTATAAGCCTATATTGATAGTTTCGCCTAGGCTTTAAAAATGTCAACACTAGTTTCGAGCCTTGGTGTCAAATTCTAAATCCTAAATCCCAAATCTTAAATCCTTAAAAAAATTAAAAATTAATCATCATCGTATATACAAAGAATAAAACAAAAAAAATTAAAAACGATCATTAGTGAATTCAATATATAAAATTAAGAAGTACAAAACACAATATTTTTAAATATATATTAGTAATTTAATTAAAATAAAAGGATATATTTATCTATTCTCATTATAATGTTAGAACATCACTAGTGACAAATCTAAGTAAATCTGATCATTTAATTGAGTTGAAATGTTAGAAAATCAAATTAAACATAAACTAAAGTTTCGATTAAATAAGTTTGGTAAACTTGACGCCAGGTTAGAAAGCCCAAATTAAAATAGAAGAAAATAAATTTGAACGAAAATATTGTAAACAATTACATAAAAACGTAATTTAGGGTTATGTTAAAAAAAATAAGATTTAAGGCACTAATATATTAATATTACATTTGATTGGTACTATGTATATGTCACAAAATTAAGTTGTTTTTTTTTTTCACGGTTAAGTTCGTATTAAAATAAGTGAAATATAAATATTAGTAAATATTTGTCTGAAAACAGTGTAGGCCATTTTCCCTATTCCATTAAATAACTTACGTACGACTCATTGATTGTAAGGGACCAATTTTGTTATCGTGTCTTTGGAGTCCATAGTAGATCCAATTCAAAGCAATGATTTAATGACTTAAATTCTGTTCAGGCTTAGGCCCACAAAGGTGAACATGATCCCTTTTTTGGGGTCCATTATTTATTCTCCTTGTTTTCCGCTGTTACGTTTGTTCGAGTGATAAGCTCAAATTAAAAGCATGCTCACTTATCTATGATTGCTGAATTTCAATTCAGAATTTGAATGACATAACATAAGTCTTCCTGAAAATTCTATAATTCCAATTTGCCAGCATGAACATACCCATGAACCCACAAACATTTCACACACGTAATTGCCAACAAAACAAAACCTCCTAATGATAATAACCGTCACGCCCCCCACGTAAAACACCACTCTCTTATATGTACTTCTCTCCACAATGTTACGACCATTAGTTATTGCATTTGAGAGTGAGGAATTAAGATGAACACAAATATGGCATCCCTTTTGAGCATCCTCTGTGTTGCTTGGATCGTTGTCTTGGCTGTGATGGATACCCCGGTTGAAGGTGCTAAGCAATTCAAAGTGGGTTGGCATGAACCTAATCCCAACGACACTGCATTTTATAATCAATGGGCTGCATGGAACAGGTTTCAAGTTGGTGACTCTTTGGGTAATAAATGTTACACCACTCATTTATTCATTGCATTTGCATGGGACCATGCAACCTTTCTTTGTCACCTGCGTCTTACAGTTTATTATTTTATTTTGTCATATGTCTTTACTTCAGAAATTAAGTAGGTAGGTTTCAAGTTTCAACTATTAGAAAGAAGAAAAAGGGAGAGAGAAATGTTATGTGTCTAATGGATAAAAATAGAAACCAATGTGTTGTGTTGTGTTGTATAATGGACAAAAATTAAGTAATTGTTAATGTTGCATGTATAATTGACATTTAATGAATTTTTTTTTTTATATTTATGGTGGTGAATTCCAATTATGATTATCAAACAGTACCAAATAAACCTATGTTACCGCATATAAGTTTTATCTTAATACAGACATGTTGTTTTGTGCAGTTTTTGAGTACCAGAATGACACAGTTTTGAATGTGGAGAAATGGGAATACTTTCATTGTGACTCAAACGATCCCATCAATACATTTGATGATGGGAACAGCACAGTGATTCTTGATAGCCCTGGAGCATTCTACTTCATCAGTGGAACTGAAGATCATTGCCAGAATGGACAAAAGTTGATTGTAGAGGTGATGTCTCCACACACAATTCCAAACTCTCCACCACCTATTTCAATTCCACCACAAGGTTCCTCACCATTGTCTCCTCCAACTTCTCATAGCTCAGGGGTTTCTTCCTCCATTATGGCTCTTTTCACCACATTTCTAGTACTTGTGCTGCTTTTAGCATCTTGAACTTTAATTTCTTCTTCTGGTCACAGTGCTTAACTAGTTTTTTTTTAATTGCTTTTGGAGTCTAATTTGTCTAGGTATTAGCATTAGCATTTGAACTCTACTTTGTTGATATTGTGTTATTATTTTTGTCCTCTATTTATAATCATATATACCTTGATTTCCTCATCATTTATTGTGTTATTTTTGTATATGTAAAATTTACTATGATAAAGCTATCAGGCCATATATTGAAAACCATGGTACTTGATATGTTTGTATAATAATGGATGGATTCATTTTGGTACTATTCACACCACATCACATTTTACCCCCATTAAAATCACCTTCGTATGCACAGCCCAGTGAGCCCACTTTATGTCTTTCCCATTAATTGCCCAAATCGGAAAAGGCTGAAATTTGGGCTTTCAAAAGCCCCATACCAAAGGTTCAAACTCGTTTAAGGCCATTTTTTTTTTTTGATTTTGCATTTACTAGTTAACCTTTCTTGTAGCACCCAAAAAGAGAGAGATTGTTTTTTCTTACAGGCAAAATGCTTGCTTCTTGTTTAGAATTTGGTAAATTTATGCCCAATTTCCTCCATGAAAGGAGGAAAAGATACCAAAGAAAAATGAGAAATGGGCTTTTGTTTATTTAGTGTATAATACTCGTAAAAAGTACAGCGTGCTTTACACTGCCATAAAATACTAAAAGGAAAAATGAAAAATGGGTCTAACCAAATTAATAGAATAATGAAACTATTTGGATATAGTTTCTATAAACGAGCCACGTGGTCCAATTAGGTAAAAAAGAAAAAGGAAAAAAGATTAAAAACCAGTAGGACCAAGCTAAAATGTGACACCTTATGGATAGTGTAATATGAGTTAATCACTTATACACTATCAATGTAAAATTTTTTTAAATTGGCAACTAATTATATCTTTTAATTGTGTTATGTTACATTTAAAAGTAAATGTGTTTACAGTAACATAACACAATTAAAAGATATAATTAATTACTGGTGTAAAAAAACTTTACACTAACAATATATAAGTGATTAACTCGTGTAATAAACATAATTGGGCACATAAACATTATAATTATTGATAGAGCCCACCAAAAGGAATCAACCTCTCCCTTCAACGTACTATAGCCAATTATTGGAAATCAACTAGATAAATTTCTTCCTTTGTAAATTTAACATAGATATTACATGTAAATAAAGTATGTGAGAAAAGAAAAATAATATTGAGAATTTTAAAGTACAAAATCTTCTTAATGTAAGGAAGAACTCTCAGACCTTAGTCCAAAACCAAATAAATCTAGACTATTAATTTTATAATTACATTCTCTTAGTACAAGATGAATTTTCAATCTTAACATGTATGGTAAAAATACATTTCTTTCTTTATTCATTTGTATTACATGTGTTTCTTTTTTTTTTTTTTCTTTTTTTTTTTTGAGAGGCCTAAATCTATCTCAAGGAGGATTCTCACTTATTTATTCTTGGATTCCTCTCTATTCCAATTACAAAAAGACAATAAACAATTTATAAATATAAAGATATTCGCCTAAATTTTTTGGAGATTTGTGTATGTATTTTTTTTAAGAGATAACCAAATCACCTTTGATTTAGAAAAAAATATTTATCTTGAGGATAATTTCCTCTGCATTACATAGTTCCTCGTATGACCCTTATGGTTTTCTCCATTTCATCAATTATAAAGAAATTCCAACACCAATCTATTCAAGTTGAATATACGCATTATGTGTGTGATAGAAAATGAAGCGACATAAGATATTGAAACTAAATAAATCCATACTTGGTAACTGTGTATATATCAGCTTCCTTTCTTATGGTTATGCAAAAATTTGTTTTCTGGCTATAATAATTGATACTTATTTTTTTTCTCTAGATGAATGATTGTTTAATTATCTCTTGGTACCAACTATATATATAATAACATATATATGCTTAATTGAATTGATTTTAGCACGGGCTTTATTGTAAATAATTCAATCAATTAGTGCTAGTCTTTGATCAATTTTTAAATATCTGGGTTTCTCCTCTGTCAGTGTGTTTGTCTTTTCATATCAATCCTCGCATCTAACATGCATCCAATCGATTATTACTCTTTTTTGTACAACTTTAAAACAAAAGACAGTTAAGAAACTCAATGTAGAACAATGACATCACATTGATTATATGATCCCACCACTTGATAAAACTGCCATTACTTTCTGGATCAAAATCTACGTACAATATCTCCTTTTAAAAGGGCATTTTTTTAATCTTCATGCATTATTGTAAGTGGTGGCTGTAATTTTCAAATAATTTAAAACCAGACAGGGCCATTAATCATCAATAGTACACATTTTGCATCGAATAGCTCAAGGAATAAGTTTGAGTTTAATGATTGAAGGACCTTGTACATATATGATGAGGTATATTTATAAAAACAAAGCATTAGTTTTTATATTTTAATTTGTTGGATGAATAATATCACACCTAAAAGCTATATGGAAATTTGTGATATAAAACAAAAAATAGCATGAAGTATGTCCCGAATATGATTATCAAAAGGGCATGTTCGACAATTCAATTTTATTTTGTTAAGTATTCATACACGTTTGCAAAATTTGTTTCCTTTCCCACTTTTGAAAGCATCGTGACTGAATCAACTTTCCTATTTTGGTGAGCTAAGTTATTGCTACTATTACCCATTTTACATGTTTCTTAGGTGCGTCCCTTTAATTAGAGTTTTCTCAAGCAATATAGTAATTTAAATGACAAGGGAGCTTAATTATTAAATAGTCTAGTGTTCAATATATACTAGCTAAGTGACCTATCTTATCTTTTGAGTAGTGGTACAAAGTGTTGGATGCAGATCAAAGGAAACATACACCACTGATATTTTTAAACAGCGAATAAAATAACTAGATCATGATCATGCATGATTTGATCAGTAAAACCCCAAATTTGATTCGGATTTTTTTAAGGAAGACACACAATCCAGCTTTGTAAGTCACAGTGAGGTGACAATCTTTGTCTCTTTTATCTAGTTAGCAAGCATTAACTCAGGACAATTTATTGTCCCACCAACTTGTTAATTTGGCTATTAGTCTAGCCAGCTTTTGTTTTCACTTTTCACCAAGCAACTATATATGTTTCATTAATGGGTTTGAAGTAGAGGTCCTCCAAAATAAGAAACCCTAAACCCTAAAAATTAGTGGGATTACCAGTCCGATTGTAATGTTGTTATTTTGTTATTAATGCTAGTAGGTCCGAAAATAATGCAAACGATTAGTTTTATTTAGTAAAACTTCTTTGGCACAATTAATGTATTTTTTTTCTTCATAGACATAATCTATGTAGTGTCCCACTTATAAATAAGGATTAGTTTATACTCATGAAATATAATTTTTATAGATTAAATATTATTTTAACATATATGGATGTTAGATCACTATATTAACCCAGTGCAATTAATGTTTTATTTATTTATTTTACCTTTATTTTGAAGGTGGTATTCTCGTCTTTAAAGAATGGTTATTTGAAGTTTCCGGGAGAAATTAGATAGGATTTTTAATTGGACAAAAGTTGAAGACAACTCTTTGGATTTATTTCATTTTGCCTCCTGAGAAGTTCTATTATATCGAGAAATTGATCCTAATTAATATTATTCTCTTAAATAAATTATTTTTCTTAATTTACGTGAAAAGACCTTAGATGTCACTCAGTACGAGGTGGGAAGGAGGGACGGAGGGTATTAAATATTCTTTCTATTCTATTTACAAGATTTAGTGTTTATGTATAAGACTTGATAAATATAATTAATATTTTAAATTTAATTAAAATTATTGATAAATACTACATGTTGCATCAATAATATGATTATTAAGAATGTGTTAAACTAGACATAAACTCATTTTACTAATTTACAAATTTATAAGCTCTTTTTATTAATAGAAATTTGTTTAATATACGAGTTTATTTTAAGGGTTTATAATTTATTTTTATAAATTTCAATTAATTGAAGTAATTAATGTCTTATAAAAATTTAGTTTTTTTCATTATCATTAATCTACTTGAATTTTTTTTTACCCTTTTTAATTTAGTAACTATTTTGTCGGTATGTTATTGTTTCTCTCCTTGTTAAATAAATAAACATATCATTTTATATTAATTAGTTAGCTTAACAACTAATTTTACCAGTATCTTTCAATACAATAAGCTAGCTTATAAATTTTTGGTTTTTCAACTCATATCTAGTTATCTTGTAATTTATAAGTTTTTAATAAACTCATAAGCTAATTTTACCAAACACGTCATACACAATGAAGAATTAAAAAATTTTAAGTAGTAAAGATAATACTCATACATAAATTTGTAGTAATAAACATATAATATATTTTTTGAAATATAAATATACATTGCAATTATTTTTTACGAAATTTCATATTTAATATTAAATAATTATCTCATTTTTAACACGTTCATTATTATTTTTCTTAATATAAGTATTTAAGCAATCGGTTAATCATTCCTTTCTCACATTAAAATTTTATTTTATTTTAAAAAAAAATATAATATGGACTTGGGTAAGCCATCAACTCTTGACTAAGCTTACTTAACTATAATTAACATGATATATATATATATATATATATATATACATATATAAATATATATATATGAGGAAAGATCTTTTTACTCCAGAAGTAATTCTACCTAAACTTACTTCATTCAATAACTCGTGTTCTACATCAAATTTCAACGATCTAACTGTTCAATTTAAAGTTCTTAATGCATAGATCAAATCTACAAATTTTTAGAAAATTTGAAAATCATTTGATACTTTGTTTCATTAATTGGAGTCAATGTATAAAATGATTTTATGATTATCCGTCAATTTGAAAATAAAGTATCAAATGATTTTCAAATTTTCTAAAAATTTGCAAATTTGATCTATGCATTAAGAACTTTAAATTGAACGGTTGGATCGTTGAAATTTGATGTAGAACATGAGTTATTGAACGAAGTAAGTCTAGGTAGACTTACTCCTAAAGTAAAAGGATCTCTTCTCTCTCTCTCTCTATATATATA